AACCTAGCTGATTACCGTGCAAAGCTGCTCGGCCTGCATGTCGAAGAAATTAAACAGCAAAAACAAGGAAATGAACGGCAACAACAAATGGGTGGTTGAGAGGCAAACACCAGCTGCTACTGTGGTTCTAATGCGTGCAGCTAAGCTCGCACCACACCACACAACCCTGTGTACGAGACATCATTCAGTGGAGGTCAGGGAAAGAACAGATCGCGACACTCGGGTTGATCAGAATGGACCAAAACAAAGTTGCAGATAATAAGAGGCAAACCCACGTGTTGGTTAGGTACATCTTTTGGCTTTTGTACCAGGGGCTTATCGTCGTCCTTACATCTGGGATTAATTTATTTCCAAATTTAGAAACTAGATGCCCTTAAATTATTTCTTTGATGTGGGAGTATTTTTCCATCCAGGGTTCATTTCTTAATTAATGCACGGAATTAAATAGCTGTGTCTATCCAGAGTATAGATGTCGGAAGCTCACTTCCATTTGTCCAAAGAAAATACCATATTCTTTCTTCTTTGAACTTGTCATAGGTGGAAAAGCATTTCAACTTCTTTGTTAGCTATAAGAAAGAGATTATGAAAATTCTCTATTTCTCCTTAAAGTCGACCACCTCTCAAACTTGCCCCTCTAAAGTTGTTTTTTTTATATGCCACTTTGTAAGTAATATTTATCCAATGTTTACCCCTACCACTCTTCTAACCATAGTGTCCATTTTACCCTTTTTCTTCCTCTCAACCTTTTTCTCCTTTCTTTGCCAAACTTTTTCCTCCATTATTTTCTTCATTACTCCCTCCATCCCATAATATAAGGCATACATGCAAACATGCAATTAATTATGATATTTTCTCCATTAAATTATTACTTTTTTAAATCCTCCACTCTTATGCTATCTAATCCTATTGGATGCATGCATTATATTTATTAGGATGATCCAAACTATAAGATGATAATAATTATTTCTTGATTTTTGGGTTAAGAATGGTTGTGCCTTATATTTTAGAATGGAGAAAGTAATTAGCATCCTGACATTGGTCTCCTCTTTCCACTCAACCATGGCCCTCGTCCTCCCCTTTAATCACCCTTTCCTTGACAGGTGCCTACTCCCTCCTCAAATGGCGGTGACCCTCCTATTTAGCTCGCCCTATTTCATCTTGGCCTAATACTAACCCTTACATTATTAAAAAAGGAAAAACGCTGGATAAGAGAGAAGAGCTCTCATATAGAAAAATATCAAGAGAAGTAAGGTTTAAATTTGGGTCATCTAGCCCACTACTTGTGCTAGTCAGAAAGAACCCAAAAATTTCTCACCCTCTCACCATTCATTGACAATTCTCTTTAACCCTCTTTATCACACGACATCGATATATACAAAACATAACGAGAGATTTAGAAACAATCATAGTGCGATAAGACATTGGGTAATAGGAACATGAAGACAAAGTGAAGTAAGAACAACAAAACTGTTTAAAATCATTATCCTGTGCTATTGAATAGCACAATACTGATAAAAACTGCATTCGCAGCGGGTGAAAGAGAGAAAATTTGTTTCGTTTTCCGCTCGCACACGCTTCCCAAACTACTAAACAGTGTGTTTTTTCTAAAAAAATTTCTATATGAAATTTGCTTTTAAAAATCATATTAATCCATTTTTAAAGTTTAAAATAGTTAATACTCAATTAATTATATGCTAATGACTTACCTCATTTTGCATATCTTCTCAATCTTCTCTTTTCTTCTCCTCTTAAACTCAGAGCGCGACAAATAAAAGAGAAAGCTAGGTTAATATGGAAGTGACAAATAAAAGATACTACATAGTGTTCCTTCCTTTTTATTGTTTTGGTTTTCTTTTACGGAATTATATATCCTTTTCAAATCACACATGGTAGCGCCTTCTAGAATTCGATGGATCAGTCACCAAGTGCATCGATGTAATTGTCTTGTTGGCAGCAAATCAACCATCCTGACGGCGATGGAGATCGTGAAATTGAAAAGGAATATTAGCGTACGTACTTAGTGCCGATCATTTAGCGTTTCTATCGAAAGTGCGGCTGATCGAGTTCAAACATGTGGTAAACCTTTTTTCATGACAAACAAAGCAATAAATTAAAATACCACAATGTGGGAGGAAAAGCTTTCTTCAGTGTTTCTCGTGGTGAGTTAATTGTGATGTTTACTTTCGTGGCGAGTTAACTGTGACAAATGACAAGGCAATGACCAATAGATTAACAACCAAATTACAAAAATCCAACCGAAAAATGACAGTGACATAGCTAATAAACGCAGGCAGCATGTCTAATTAATTATCCAGGTGGCGAACTGGGGATCGCACATTGCTAGCTTTATTTCTGTGTCTTCCGCCTTTTTATTTTTCGAAGAGCCTTGACACCCGTCAGAGTTGTGTTGTATTTACTGCTTCTATAGTGCTCAATTTCAACACACAAAAGTTTTTGCATAATCAGGAAAAATAACATTTCTATATCTATATAGGAGACCAACTAACTGTTATATTTTATAATATATTTCAAGTTTATCAAAATTTAACTAATCGTCTAATCCTGAGATGATGTGATACTCTGAAATGTGGATACTGTTTTGGAAAATTATTAAAAGATAAATTTATACAGCGCCAAACGGATCTCCTGTCGATTCATACACCAGTGTAATTAATCAAAGCTGCGCATTGTAATCTATTGGATTTGACTCAGAAACCTTACCCTTTCATCAATGGAATCGCATTATAGCAACTAAAGCTAGAGGTGCATATATATATATATATATATATATATATATATATATATATATATATATATATATATAATATAATGCCCCCTCACAAGTAATAATTAAAATATTTCAATTAATCTGCCCAGGTTGTCGGTTGAAAGGCAAACCTTCCGAATCGACTGAATCTGACTTGCTGCTTAACGAACTGTTTAACCACATGGATTAGTGTGATAACATGGGCTAATAAGTGGCGATGTACTATAACGCACCCATTCTCTGGTCTGGCTGATTACGTTGTGTAAACAAACACTATTTTTTTCTAATATATTGACGTGCAAATCTTTTGCGCGTTCGTGAAAAGAAAATAACACACCCATTCTCGACAGGATGAGCGTGAGTGCAGCTGCGACCTACCCCTATGCTTCAATTTCTTTTTTGACAGTTGCATAGGTCCCTTTTATCTTTCTGAATAAAATGCACTGCTACTAGTTACTACTATTAATTATTGCTAATACTTTCCAATACATAGGTGATGAAGCAAGCACCTTGGCAGTGTGGAACCTATATGTATGTATTTTATTTCTTGCTGGGCAATAATGTTCACTAGTGGCATGTATAGCAGGTTTTTTCTATAATCTTGGATGGCCGTTAAATGGTGGAATTGTACATATACATGCAACTGCATATGGATTAGGAAAAAGTTCAAATATCCTCTAAACTTTAGATGAAGTCCGTCTAGTACCTTGAACTTTAAAACCGGACATTCAACCCCCTGAACTTTGACATACCATCCATATTACCTCTAAGGTGGTTTTGGAGAATGGTTTTGCATATTTTGGAAGCTTAAACAAACAATTTTGAATAACTAATATAACATATTTACATATCATCAGTTATAAGTCATTAATTTATTCTTACACATTGATATCATACTATTATCATGTTGATATTTATTTGTGAGTGAGAGTAAATAAAGAGCAAAAAGAAGTATTTAAATCAAAATTTTAATATGTATGTCTAAAGCGTATAACACGTGATCAAACTCATCTAATTATATATAAATTAGATAAAAACCATTATGCAAAACCATCTTAGTGGGTTATATAAATTGTATTGTAAAGTTTATAAATTGTATTGTAAAGTTTAGGGGTGGAATGTCCGGTTTTAAAGTTCAGGTTGCTAGATGGACTTCCATCTAAAGTTTAGGCGGTTATTTGGATTTTTTAGTCTTTTTTTTCGAACGATTAAGGCCTCCTTTAATCCTTATAAAAGTAAAAAGATAGAAAGGCTCTTAATGTTCTTCTAAAGTAAAGTGCTAAGTTGTGCTTATTTTTTAAGTTCATGTGAACTTCGACGTTGAAGTTTTAATTGTAGTTTTTTTTCAAAACGAAATTAACCAAACAAATTCAAATGTTGTTTATTTCACACTTGTTTACTGATAGAGTTCAAGTTACCCGATAGAATTCAAGTTTTACTATCCACAAGCATTACATACACATGGACTCTTTTCAATAGGAATTTAGTTATGTTAGGGATTTGCTGATGTCTGTCTCTTTAAGCACTCGCAAGTATGCATATGTGACGTGTGTACGTGGTGGTGTATATGCGTGTGCAGCTTCCGTATAATCAGAAAAAAGATATAAATGGAGAATAGTCGACATTGTTAAGTTCGTGGGACTTGACAAGACCACTGTAGATTAGTCAGACATGTACCAAGACTTGTAGAAATACTCTCTCCGTACATACGTAGGTTTATGTCGATATTTGAACATTCGTATTATTTAAATTTTTTTATTGTGATTAACATTTTTGTTGTTATTAGATGATAAAACATGAATAATACTTTATGCATGACTTTTTTATTTTTTCATGAATTTTTAAAATAAGACGGACGGTTAAACATTGGACACGAAACCTACGTCTGCACTTAAAATGAAACGGATAGAGTAATAAACACGACACATAGATGTGACCCAGCAGAATATAACATGGTTAGAATTGTACAACTTAGTACCATTCTACAATTTAAACCACAGAGACGAATGTCTGGACTAGGCATGCAATAAGCATAAGCTATGATTTCGCTTCACCGTATCAGGTGAAGAGGCCTCAGCTCACCGACCCCACCTGTCAGTGGCCAAAGCTGGAGCCCCTCAAGAATCTATCCATCAATCCTGATTTCTTTTTCCCACTGAGAGAAAAACAAAAGGAGGGAATATTGTGGGGAGAGAAGAAAGGCCAAGAGGAGAGGGAAGGGGGGGGGGGGGGCATGAGATAAATGGCCAATAGGAAAAGTTGAGAACAAATCCAAACCAACCAATCCCAATATCCACATACCACCTCTCCATTGGACCACAGTTTCTCTCTCCCCACAACCAAACCAAAACTAAGAAACCCCTGCTGCTCTCTGCAAGAACTCCATCAAATTCCCCAGCCAAAAACACTCAGATAATTTTTTTTATTAGAAAAAAAGAAAGGAGATTAGCCAGCCAGTCTGCTGCTCCATCTCAGTGCTCACGCACTCACTCTGAGGAGTGAAATCCAATCCAGCCCACTCCGGAGTTCCTGGAAAATCCTCGCGAAGTCCAAGAAAAAAAATATTACCACTGCCATTTCTTGGTTTCTTGATAGCTTCTCCTAGCTGCTGCCGCCCAATCATCCGAGAGAGCGAGCAAGTAAGAAAGATTGATTGATTGCTTGATTGGGAGTGTCCTTTGGGCGAGCTGTGGTGGGATTTAGCGGCATGTCAGCGTCGCCGTCGTCGATGAGCGGCGCCGGCGCCGGCGAGGCGGGGGTGCGGACGGTGGTGTGGTTCAGGCGGGACCTGCGCGTGGAGGACAACCCGGCGCTGGCGGCGGCGGCGCGGGCGGCCGGGGAGGTGGTGCCGGTGTACGTGTGGGCGCCGGAGGAGGACGGGCCGTACTACCCGGGGCGGGTGTCCCGGTGGTGGCTCAGCCAGAGCCTCAAGCACCTGGACGCCTCGCTCCGGCGGCTCGGCGCCAGCAGGCTCGTCACCCGCCGCTCCGCCGACGCCGTCGTCGCGCTCATCGAGCTCGTCCGCAGCATCGGCGCCACGCATCTCTTCTTCAACCACCTCTACGGTTCGATTCCTATATCTTCTTCTCGCACTGCGACCTCTTCTTGGTCAATTCTTCCTTTTTTTTTTAGGCTCTGCTATTATGATTCAGACTTCAGCTTAGAGTTCCAGTTAAATTTGTTCGATATTTTTCCTTCCCTCTTCTCGTTTAACAGGATCCATTGATCCAGAATTCCAGATAGGTACTATATCTCACAAAGGGAAAAAAAAAGAGAGACTAGGCTAAGCTTCCACGAACAGCATCTTGTGTGTCTACCATTTATGGATATTTCGCACCTTAACACCCTTACTCTTCACGTCAAAGAGCTCCAAGTATGGAGAGCATCTACCTTAGACTTTCCCATCAAACACTCCCTGAACACTCGGTCACCGTCTCCCTCTTTAATTCCCAAAAGTTCATGCAGCCACCAACCTCCTCACCTCCTCATAGCCTATCCAAGAACTCCATTAAATTTAGCAGTTGGCCAAGGATTCAGGAATGGTGTGTGTGTGCTCTGGTTTACTGTTTTAGCAACAAGAAGAATGGTTAATTAGTTAAGTGTCCTGGTGAGTGGCTTATCGTCAGAGGGATGACGCGAATGGCCAGGCGCAGCTGACCGATCGCTGTCTTTTGGTGTGCAGACCCGCTGTCGCTGGTGAGGGACCACCGGGTGAAGGCGCTGCTGACGGCCGAGGGCATCGCCGTGCAGTCGTTCAACGCCGACCTGCTGTACGAGCCATGGGAGGTGGTCGACGACGACGGCTGCCCGTTCACCATGTTCGCGCCGTTCTGGGACAGGTGCCTGTGCATGCCCGACCCGGCGGCGCCGCTGCTGCCGCCCAAGAGGATCGCGCCCGGCGAGCTGCCGGCGAGGAGGTGCCCCTCCGACGAGCTGGTGTTCGAGGACGAGTCCGAGCGGGGGAGCAACGCGCTGCTGGCGAGGGCGTGGTCGCCCGGGTGGCAGAACGCCGACAAGGCGCTGGCCGCGTTCCTCAACGGGCCACTCATGGACTACTCGGTGAACCGGAAGAAGGCCGACAGCGCCAGCACGTCACTGCTGTCGCCGTACCTGCACTTCGGCGAGCTCAGCGTACGCAAGGTGTTCCACCAGGTGAGGATGAAGCAGCTCATGTGGAGCAACGAGGGGAACCACGCCGGCGACGAGAGCTGCGTCCTCTTCCTCCGGTCCATCGGCCTCAGGGAGTACTCGAGGTACCTCACGTTCAACCACCCGTGCAGCCTGGAGAAGCCACTCCTGGCGCACCTCAGGTTCTTCCCCTGGGTGGTCGACGAGGTGTACTTCAAGGTGTGGAGGCAGGGGAGGACAGGGTACCCTCTCGTCGACGCCGGGATGCGCGAGCTCTGGGCCACCGGCTGGCTGCACGACCGGATACGCGTCGTCGTCTCCAGCTTCTTCGTCAAGGTGCTCCAGCTTCCATGGCGCTGGGGGATGAAGTACTTCTGGGACACCCTGCTCGACGCCGACCTCGAGAGCGACGCGCTCGGCTGGCAGTACATCTCCGGCTCTCTCCCCGATGGCCGTGAGCTCGACCGCATCGACAACCCTCAGGTACCCAACTTCTGTTCTCCTCCATGAGATGGGACCATCTTTGTTGCCATTACCATATTGATCTGATGCATTGGTGTTGTGTTTCGCAGCTTGAAGGATACAAGTTTGATCCGCACGGGGAGTATGTCCGGCGATGGCTGCCGGAGCTGGCAAGGCTGCCGACGGAGTGGATACACCACCCATGGGACGCACCGGAGTCGGTGCTCCAGGCTGCAGGGATTGAGCTAGGCTCCAACTATCCTCTCCCCATCGTGGAGCTGGACGCGGCGAAGACCAGGCTGCAGGATGCACTGTCAGAGATGTGGGAGCTCGAGGCCGCGTCACGCGCAGCGATGGAGAACGGAATGGAGGAGGGCCTCGGCGACTCCTCCGACGTGCCGCCGATCGCCTTCCCACCGGAGCTGCAGATGGAAGTTGACCGAGCACCGGCCCAGCCTACTGTTCACGGACCGACAACGGCTGGCCGGCGACGAGAGGATCAGATGGTTCCCAGCATGACCTCCTCGCTGGTCAGAGCTGAAACAGAACTTTCAGCGGATTTTGACAACAGCATGGACAGTAGGCCGGAGGTGCCGTCGCAGGTGCTCTTCCAGCCTCGGATGGAAAGGGAAGAAACAGTGGACGGCGGCGGTGGCGGCGGAATGGTCGGCAGGAGCAACGGCGGCGGCCACCAAGGCCAACACCAGCAGCAACAGCACAACTTTCAGACTACAATTCACCGGGCACGGGGCGTTGCGCCGTCTACGTCAGAGGCATCAAGCAACTGGACTGGGAGAGAAGGCGGCGTGGTGCCCGTCTGGTCGCCTCCGGCAGCGTCAGGCCCCTCAGATCACTACGCTGCCGATGAAGCTGACATTACCAGTAGAAGTTATTTGGACAGGCATCCACAGTCGCATACGTTGATGAACTGGAGTCAGCTCTCGCAGTCATTGTGAGTTCACACGCACGGTAACTCATTGTTCCCAGCAAACTGCGTCAGTATTACATTGAAAAATCACAGCTTACAGAGTAATTGTCTCAGCTGGTTATTAAAAGGGTTGAAATTTAATTTCAAGTGCAGTATCTGAAATGAAGCATTCTATACGCTTACTAATGCTCCCATTTATTTTATGCATCTGAATGTAGGACAACAGGCTGGGAAGTGGAAAATTAATGCTGATTGTCAGAATTAATCATTAGGAAGGTCGACATTGAGAAGAATTCATATGTAAATTATCACCTTTTGTTTGTCTATAGCCTTGGTGTGCATGAATCAAGTGATGAAGCTTCCTTGATGCAATAATGATTATGTAAAGCTAGTTTTACAGAACATTTGTGGTATAGGTTTGCTAGTTGTCAAAAGGATATGTACTATTTGTTAGATAAGAGGTTATTCTAGCATTATGTCTTAGACTTGTACATTCTCCCTTTGGTTATTGTAATCTTGGTGGAATAGTCATCACAGAGATCTCAGTTAGACTCAGTTCAGTAGTGCATACCTGGCATGGAAGTGGATTCAGGAAATAATAGCAGTGCCATGATGGTAGAAATAATCTGATGGCCTGAAAGATTAAAGGGGCATTAGTTAGTTAAGAAACAGTTCAGTAGTGCATACCTGGTATGGAAGTGGATTCAGGAAATAATAGCAGTGCCATGATGGTAGAAATAATCTGATGGTCTTAAAGATTAAAGGGGCATTAGTTAGTTAAGAAACAGTTCAGTAGTGCATACCTGGTATGGAAGTGGATTCAGGAAATAATAGCAGTACCATGATGGTAGAAATAATCTGATGGCCTGAAAGATTAAAAAGGCACTAGTTAGTTAAGAACAAAAAAAAGCTTCAGAGATTTATCAGAGGCAACACAGATGATACAGTAACCAGATAACACGAACTGATCAGTACTTAAAATTCTTATCATCGACTTACCATGGAGTGTGATAGTGAGATTGAGCGGATGTATTGGGGTCAAGAGAGATGATTAATAAGTAACCAATCATATGAATAAATCACAGTGCCACTATCTTCATTAGCTAAGACATCGTGAACACATGCTACTTTGCTCTGGCTTCTGGCAGTGTGAGAAACGTAGCATGAAAATGACAAGCAACTGTTTGATTTCTGATGAGGCATTACAAGGCAAGATGGACAACAAGATAGTGTAAATTTCAACGAAAAGGATTAGTTTGATTTTCAATGAAGATCATGCAACATGGAATGCATGATGTGATGTTTGATTGTGACAGATTTAATCTTGATATAAAGGTACAGAATATCATCTGAAAGATACATTCAGTTCCCAAGTTGTTCAGATATATAACATATATAGCTATACGCATACCACTTGCTAATGTAAAAGAAGAAAATCAAGTCAATGGAAAATACAACTAATATCAAACTGACTGCCGGAATAAACTCCAGCCATATGTTTTGTGAACATGTGATCCATTTAATATAGAGATCATTAGATGAATGATACATAGCTTCATGAAGAGACACTCTTCAAGGTCATATATGGCCCATTCAAGGCGCATCCAACTTTCGTGGGATCAAAATGAGGTTAGCATAATGTATTTATGTTGTGCTGATGCTAAATAATTCCCTTCTCTTCTGAGCAAGCTTATCAGTCTTTCTTCTTTCTATCAACATATGGATACTTCTGGTAAATAAATATGCTTGTCATGACAAGTGGTAATGCTATCAGGCAATAGAGTGATGGAGGCTTTCCGTCAAATATAAATTGTAGTAGTGCAGTTACAAGGAGAGCTGACACTATCACAAAACCCTGAATAAGCAAAACAGGACAGTTCTTAGGTAAAAATGAATGAGAGATTTTCATTTTGTAAAAGTTCAGGCACTTGCCTTTCTAACACCTCCTGCATATGTTGTGACCAGACCAACAAGAATTCCACCAACAGCATTCATTAATACTGGCACCTGAATAAGACAGTCAACATCAAAGGCCTACAAATCAGTGATAGTTCACGATCAAACCTGTTTAAGTTGCTTCAAACTTAAACCAAGAATACAACTTTCTTTCTTATTATCCATGCATCTTCTTGAAGACAAACCATGCGTATTGGATAAATTAGAGATGTATTACGTAGTTAAATCAAGACTTAGTTGTGTTACAGAGGGAATCAAAACACATAGTTTAGTTCTTGCAGATCAATGGCCTACTTCTAAACACTATAAGGGCATGATCCCAGCAAAAGTTACACCATGATGATAATAAAAGCACACCATCTTCAGATATGAATGTAAAAAAAACAAAGGTCTGGATTCTACTACATGCCTATATCGATTAAATGCAGTGACAAAAGGTATACAGTTATCTGGAGCATATGTGCTAAACTGACAGCCGCATCTTTGAACATCGATATCGATCCAACCAGTGAGTAGTGATGGCATAATGTTATTATAAAATAACAGCTTACTAGATTAGAAAGATATTGTAACTGAGGCTTTCATAATAGATGATCTCTAAAATCAATTCACAAGAGGCGCAGTGTTTAGAAGCTATAACATCTAAACAAATTTTATTACTAACAACAGTAAGGAATAAACTCAATGCTAATGAGAAATGAAGCAGGAACTAACAAGGATTTTCATACAGTTACATATTTAGCTATCTCAATACTGGTTTATTTCCTGAAACTAGATTCTAACAGAGAGGACGGGTTATGGCAAAAGAACAAAGAGTACTCACCACTGTCAACAAAGTCCATTCATGGAAAAAACCATGCTTTCTGATGGCTTCCCCATCTGGTGATTGAGAAGTACTTGCTAGCAAGCACATGCTCCCAATAAACGACATCTCTATAGTCATCATGTAGGAGGTATGCTTTTTAACCTGCGTTTTATTGAAAGGGTCAACAATGGCAATGGGATGCTTCATGGAAAGTACAATGACAAGTACAACCTGAGATGCCCACTGGCACAAAGACGAGGCCAAACCAGACAATACAGATGCAACTGTAACAGGAATGATTCCATAGAGCAAGATATAGTCTGAATTGCCACCACCAGAACCTTTGCTGCTGCTCTCCCCAATGCTCAAAAGGACCGCAGCAGCGATTAAGAGGGTTAATGCAAAAATTTGCTTGGGTGATTGCTTTTGCCTGCATGATATAATCCATAAAGAGATAAAATTAATGGATAGGCCCTTAATTCAGATGTTTAGTGACAGAATAGACCAGCATGTGACATGTGGAGCATAAGAAAAAAGGAAACAATATAAAGGGCAGTTGTTAGAACACAACCAAACGATTCATGTTCCGTGTAGTAACTAGTAACAGGTGTGTAACCCTAGCTCTAATCCTGCATGACATGTAGTGAAGAATAATATGTAATGGGCTTGTTTTGGTTAACTTTTACCAAATACCCTTGTTTTGGTTTAACTTTTACCAAATACCAGGAAAAAGTAGGTGGTGAAGGTTTTGTAGTAATAAATCTAATCCCTTCTTTCTATAAAGCTAATGCCCACTAAACACCTAAAGCTCAACATGCAAGCATAGTATTTATTAGCACTCCTAAAACCTAACATGCAAGCATGCCACATCAACCTACTAAGCACACAAAGCTCAACATGCAAGCATATAGTAATTATATCTATAATTTATTTCATTCTAAAACTAAACATACATATGCTAAATCATCATTTTCAAATCATTTCTACAATATTTCAATCCAAATCATTTCTACAATATCTAGCATATATTCCACAACAAAGCACGGCGCATCATCTAGTTAGCTATATAGAACTGAACTTTTCTAACGCACTCCAATACTGGTTTCCTCCAATCTTTTAAAAAATACAATTCCCGGCAATTAAGGGATCCAGTCATTTTCTATTTTGCTTGTCTTGTCCTCTTTTTCCTACTCAGTCCTTACCTCCTTTAGCGTGTGGACACCATCCTCACTGGTGGGCAGGAAGTACGAGTGACAACAGGAACCAACAACGAAAAATGGCACACATCATCCCTCTCACCTCTCTTTTTCAAAGCAGGCTCATAGATGATGTGGTCGGACTTGAAGCAAAGGTGGTGGTGGGTGGTAGCCAGTGGCCAGCAAGGATGCTGGTAACAGGCTTCCATCCCCACACTAACCACACATGGTCAATATGGACGTCCTGCTGGTCAACACATGGATAAGGCATGGCTGCAATTCTTGAGCTACTGCTCAGATCCACAATCATCTTCCTTTCTTCTGCCGTTTTCCGGATTCTCAAAAGCACCACACCATCATCACCCTTGTGTTTAATTGTTGCCACTGCCCAATCAAGCCACAACCCCACCACATTCCTAACCTGTCAGCAACCTCTGCTTGGTGCATTTACGAAAAGAATGGTAAAGATGCTGGCAATAGAGGAAACGCAAGGGACAAATTGGCTGTATGGTGGAACAAAGGGCAATTTAGGATTTCATGTGCGGCATTCTGTGGTATTAAATTACACGCAGTCATAAATAGCTAAATTGTGCATCTTTTGGTGACGCGGAACAAAATGTTCCAGTCCTTAACTTTGTTTCTTTCTGGCTTGTCACCAACTCACCATATGTCAATGAATTAAAAAGGGAAATGGTACAGAAAATAAACCCGATAATGATGCGACCAGCAAGGCCAATAGAGTTTTAACTTGATTTGTTAAGGAAAAAGTCTTAAATATCATGAACTTAAATTGCAATCCCTAAAACAGTGACCATGGATGGTAAATAAGGATTTCAGTTAAAGCCTAGTTATATAATATGCAAAAATCAGGACAACTAGTTTTCCCTTGGGTGGAGATCTAGGACCATTTAAAGGATTGAACCATAAAACTATGCATATAAACAAAGCGAACCTATTGTTTTAGCAGTGGCTTGAATACAACATTACTCCTTACATTGACTTTTGCAAGATTCCCATGTATTTGATTCAAACATTGTAAATCTAGCAAAACAAAGATTTAGTGGCACACAAACAGTACCATTATATTTGTACTTAAACAAAAACACATCCATATGGTAATAATTCTGTGATTGTAAATAATATATTGTAAAATAAATTAACAGTAAAAAGTGTCAATGATATATTGTAAAATAATAAATTTACAGTAAAAATTCAAATGTTAAGATCATGCCAGGCCAAACAGTGGCATTCATTAAGGGAAGTTCAAATATTAGTGACACAAACACTTCATGGTTATAACTTCATAAGATCATGTGCATCATCAATACATTGTAATATGTAAATAGGAGGTATCACCAGGACATACCCCAAAATAAGATAAGTGAAGAATGCTGTGAATAATAGCTTGGTCTGGTTAAGGATTGAGAAGGTCAATGAATCCAAATTCTTGTATGATATCTGCAGTAAGCTATTCTGCAATGCATATATAGCAGCGGGAAGTCCTGATGCAGTAAGTGATCTGGTGATACTCCAATTATTGAATTGCTTCTTCAGACTACCTTCTGCCACCAATAAAATGACTGCACATATAACCTATGCAAACACACATTCTATCAGAAACAGCCAGGTCAAGAACAATTTAGACCAAATAAAACTTCTGACCAGACCTTTGCTACTTCGATTGAAAGAACCAATGTAGTCACTATAACTTCTTGCCTGCAAGAGTAGAAGCAAAAAAATGGGTTCAACACATTCAACTATATGACCGTAGGAGAGGAACGCAAAGAGATCCAACTCCATGAAATGCAAAAACCTCACATACAAGGAATTGTTAAATTGCAACACAAATTGTCTGTTAACTAGTATAATTGTTCATCATTATTAAATTATCAAAGAATGTGCCCATGAAAACTATTTCTGCCATCTTAATTACTAGCAAAGAATCAAACCTGTTTATAGAAAACACAATGGCTACTCGGCCAGTAAAAGCCAGCTACAATTCCTCATGGGTGGTTTTAATTACCAAATCTGAACTCAAAATTTTAATCTCACGGGTTGTCAGGTTCCTCCTCTGTTATAACCTGAAATCAGTGCTTATTCATTTAAACCAAAGTCCAATTTCACTTTCCGTCAACATTTTTTCCCCTGTTATCAACGAGAGTACTGGATTTTTATTGAAATATATTTCGAACTAGTCATCTAGGTTCCTATATCTCAAGCAGCTCACACTGCACTGTTTTCATCAGCGATATGGTCAGACAAACAGTCAATTAACTTCTAAGATTCTGACGCGGCCACCCTCCCTTCAACGGCAGACAAAATCTGACGAACCGCCGGTGCTGCCCGTTCTCCCGTCTTCCTAAACCTATTCGACTCCCCGAGACCTTCTCCCCACAAATCGAACCCCCACATAACGCGATCGAATCGACAACGAAGGAGCCCCCAGCGCACGGCGAGAGACGCGGGGGGGGGGGGGGGGGGGGGGGCGTCGTGGTGGTGGGGGGTACCTGACGAAGCGCTTGGAGATGAGGGGCTGGGCGCCGTACTGCAGGGTAAGGAGCGCGAGGTAGAGCGCCACCTTGCGCCGGCCCGGCGCGCTCGCCGCCGTCGACGGAGTAGCCGACGAGCCCATTCGGCCTCTCGCCGCCGCGTCGCGCCGCCCTCCCGCTCCCGATCGAAGTCGAAGCCACCGGAATTCGGCCGCTCGGCTCGTGTTCCGTCAAGCTGGTCGCCTCGCCTCTCTTTGCTTCGCTTGTCGGTAACGGGGCCGCCTACCGTCCCACGCGCCACGCCGTGGTGGGAGTGGGACTAGCGGAAGTGCAGAGTGGTGGGGATGGGGATTTGGTCGCAGGGTGAGGCGGCCGACTATTTGGGATTCGAATCTCTGCGTGAAAGCTGCTGTGCTTAGTGCTCTACGATTTTTATTCCATCGCTTCTTTCCTCGAAGAAAACTTGTCTTCTTCGAGGAAAATACAATCAAGACTCTCAAGAGAGAATAAAAGGCATTTGATGAATCTGAAGCCAAATTATTTTTTTGTTCATCCTAGCCTAACTACTACTACTAATAAACAAAGAAAAAGGGAAGCTCAATAGTGAGATTTAACTTTCATCTCCCTAGATAAGCTGTTATATTTGTTTATGTATATACATAGTAATAAAACTGTAAGATGTCTCTATTTAATAAATGACTAAACTGTGGTATAAAAAAACTTCTATTTACACAGATAAAACCAGGTTCCCATCCTTTCGGTGCATACTACTACCTGTCTACCTGGCTAGCACCTCTGTCCCTGTTACAACAACCGTCGGTCATACTGAACCTTTGCATGAGCCAGTTTTCCTCATGGAGGTAACAGGCAAAAAAAAACATGTGCCTTCCTCCAGAGAATCTGCATCTGTCATTGACGGCAAAGGCTACCAACGGAAGCAACCAGGTGGAGAAATGCCAAAGGAAGTTCCTAGCTCTTCCCACCAAGGCGCTCATAGAACAAGATATAGCCATGATCTGTGTTGCCACCACAATGCTCCCGAGAAGAGCCATAGAATGTTTGCAGGGTGGATTCCTCGCTGATCTGGACGGTGTCATCGTCGAAAGAAAGCCAGTTACCATGGCTTTTAATTTGGCTTACGTAGTGTCCATGGTTGGGGCTGCTCCCAACATGGACTACAACCGCAAAGAGGGAGTACTCGCAGTCAGCGTCTTCAGACATGCTGCCCAGCTTCAGCTCCAGGGGATATACCACTCGGTACGACAGTTTCTTGTGCCGGCTAAGCTGCTCAACGTACTTGAAGCGCTTCAGGTGGATCACCAATACGTGTGGCGCCTTCTTTATCTTCATTCTCTTGTGTGCTTCTTGCAAACTGAGCATGCAACCAACATTCTGGTTTCAGTAACTGTTACAGTGAAAATATGAAATCAAGCAAGCAAAATAGATCCCCTCTAACAAGGTACTAGTTACTAATGCATTTTTTTTCCATCTAACAAACAACAAGGTTGAAAATCCAGCAGGGTCCTCTAACTAGACCTGTTTGAATCAATTTATTATATTGCCTATATTTATGGCAGCTAGTGGATAGAATTTGATGAACTTAAACTGTCACAAGGCCTCTGCTTTTGCCCCAATAAAGAGACAAAAATTGGGACCTAAATAACATATAGCACTGTTACCTGCTGCATTTGTCACAAAAGAACTTATCCTCGCCATTTAAAATCTCAGTGGAAAAGAAGCTCTTCAGGCAGCTTGTGAGCGAACTATTCTGTTCCACGTCAATGCTCAAATCAAAAAACGTCTCATCTTTTGCTGTGATAGTATCACACATTAGGCATTTGGTTTCATTGGTCAAAATACCCTGCATAGGTAAAAGGGATGATTATGCACAAAATCCTTGGGAAAAAAACTCCAAGTCTTTGTTGCAGTGATATTTCTCACCTGAAAAGTCCTGTGCACCAATGTAACTAATGGCCTTTCTCTGGCTCCATTTGCTAAAGCATTGGCTGCCCCATTTGAGACCTCTTCAGGAGTAGTCTCAGGAGAACTATTTGCAGTTCTACAATCTTCTTCAAGAATATCAATAATATCATTCACTAAGAAATTCCAGAACTCATGGGCATCCTACAGTGTAAAATGAAAAGAGATATGAGTTGTGAAAGACAGCTCTTTTACATAGCTAAATTTTAACAAGCACAACCAGAATAATAGAACAGTTCATCCTTCTTTTTAAAAGGATTCCAGATTAGCAGAGAGGACTTCTCTTATACATAATGAGAAAAAAGCATAGAGCCAGAGTTGAAAAGTATCGGGCAACTTTATTAGACTGGTTAGATCAATGGTGAAAGACTCTTCTTGAGAACCATTCACCCTTACAAAATAATATGATGTGCAGCCCAAAAGATCAGGACATACACATAGCAGAGTTTGCACAATTCAATTTTACACTAGGAAATATATAACACCATTGCCATGGGAATAAGCTGTGTCAATAAGGTTCAGTTATTATCAGATTGTGCAATGGACATGATGCAGTGCTAATGTGAACAAATCTGCACATTACCTGGTGCATATAACTTCTGAACAATTCATTCTGTTTCCTCACTCTTTGAACAAAACGTTTTGGTGCAAGAACACCAGTCCTTTTCTTCGCTAGAGTTATCTGCAAAAAATATCATCAATCTGTTGGAAGTGCCTGCTACATTTGCAAACTAATCAGGAAGAGCGGTGATCGTTAATGCAAGATCCTATAACAGGTTTATGGCATGCTTTAGTTGCAACTTCCAACTTTGTTCAATGCGGCTTCAGGGTAAGTTATCCAATCAGTCAGATGTATAGAAAGCAGAACAAAGTTGTCAGCAAGCACCTTGCAAAGCTGAGAACTGAGGCAAAGCAAACAACAATGATAATTGGACTGTACAAAAGAGTTTGCATAAGCAAGTGCTTAGGAAAGCTTAATCTCTCTTCTGAAGTAAAAGAAAAAAAATATTGAATCGACTGCTATATACCACAGTAATTATCCTCTTGATTCAAATAAGAAAGAGACTGTCAATAACTATGGATAGAAGAACTCTCGTTTACCAAAATTTAAGTGGTATTTGGACAATGATACGGTTCCAAAATATTATTCTAATCCAATTTCCAATATCATTTGTTGTTATTAAATAAAAAAGTAAATGCATTATAAATGCATATTTCATAATGAATCCTGTTTTATAACCAATTTATGTTAGAAAATTTAGAATATTTTTCACATATTGATTATCAAAATTAAAAATATCTTACTACGCACATTCTAGGAGTCACTTATATGTAGCAACAATGGAATTGGTACATATATTCTTTTATATGAAGAAATAATACAACCAATAAAGTAGTATGTCAGCTAATAACGAGGTTTTTTATGCTCCTCCTTCACCTGTGAAAAAAGATCAGCCAGACAAGTCAACAAATTGTCCTCGGAGTCTTCTGTGTTTTTGTAAGTTGCATAATATTCCAGCAACTGCTCCCGAAAAGGGATGCAATGATAAAGTGCCTGAAGAAGAAGTACAGTTTTTTAGATTCACAACAGTGTAACAAATATTTCCTATGAAGTTATTCTTAGCAAGCATGACCAACTGATCTGTGTTAAGAACATGATCTACATTATTACTAATGACCAATCAGGAATAAGAAACAAAACCTAACTTTTAAAATGAAGTGAAAGATACTTAATTGCATTGCATTCCTTCTTATCACCATCTGACCCACTGCTCATATACTAGTGAGAACTAAGAAGTGAGAAAGCTTAAAGCTAAACATGGTCCAAGTGTAGCAGTATAGATAGCATCTTAAATAAGAATCCTAATCTTCCATAACAAACAACTAAAGGTTAGTGCACCCTCAAAAGGACATAAAATTGTTGATATTAAGCTAACACTGATTATAAAAACATTTTTGTGGTATAAAAAGTTTCTATTTTTAAAAAATATATTCATCTGATTTGTAACTATATAGTGTTACTTAACTAAATTTCCTATGAAGCAGATAGAATACTCAGTCACTCAGATGACACCACTGTTTCATATTCCAGGATACTTTATTCAAAAGTTACTATTAGAGAACCAGACCAAATATACAAAATCGATGACATATTCACAACTGAAAGAGGATCCTAAAGAGTTGTTGAGGAAAACTGAAGAACTTCACAAGAATCATGAAATCTGAACACCTATCTTGAAATCCGCCTGTGGCTTGTGATACAAACCTGTAAGCATTGTACTAGGAACAGGTTTTTTACTTTGTTTACATTGTACTAAGAAATATTTTTTACATGCAAACATCTGTGCCACTGTATTCAGTTCATGCCCTTAATAGTCAATACCACACCATCAATGGCTTTAGAATTCAGAATAGTACTTTCCATGTCATTTGGTATTAGTATAGGCAACCCACACAATAGGTCGTTTATATAATTGATTGTAAGTTGCAACAGCTTCACATGATTAATGAGTTGGCTGATTGCCACGGAGCATGTAGCCGAGTGGACTAAAGCATTTAACCACCTTCTCCTATTAAACATCAGCCAAATGAACAGAGGAACCCAGTTACTGCTGAACCATATGTATCATCTTTGCCCATGACTCTCCATCCCATGAACCCAAACAAACAAACAATAAATAAATAAATTCACTGGCTAGTCCCTTGAACAGTGCCGGGCCTAGAACAATTTGACGACTAGGGCAACAAACCAAAACCACCACCACCACCACCACCACCGATCTCGGAAGAAACTACACACACAAACATTTTCTCATAGAACTCAGATCATACGGACACTTAACCAACCCGGAATTGCCGCGCATCACATCCATCGAGCAGCGGAGAAGGGGGGCCGGCTGGGGTTAGGCAGCTACCTGCAGGACGCTGTTGCAGTAGCAGGTGTTGCCGAAGTTCTCGAGGCCGAAGTAGCGCGCGCCCTCGGGGAAGTGGTCGCCGAGGGCCTTCTCGAGCTTGGAGACGCCCGCGCCGAGGACCGAGAGGCGGTCCCACAGCCCGGACGCGGCGCTGGAGAGCGACCGGAGCCCCGACCCCGCCGCCGCCGGCCGGGGCCTCTCCGCGGCCGCCGCCGGCGGCGGCGGCGGGTCCTCCGCCGCGAGCAGCCGCGCCGTCCTCGCCATCCCCTACGGATGGATGGATCGCTCGGTTCGAACGCGCGTGGCGGCGGGCGGATTAAGGGGGAAGAAGAAGGCCGCAGGAGGCGGCGACCATTTAGCCCCCCCAAATCTTCACGGTTTGATCGGGGGAGGGAGGTGGAACTTCAGTGGAAGGCGGCAGCACAGCGCAGCGCGCCCTCTACTAGTGGAGTTGTTGGCTTTGGCTGTTGCCCATTTTTCTTCGGAGTTTATATAATGCCTATCTCTTTCGTGTCATGTACAACTCGAAAGAGAGAAGGGTGCGATGGGCCCACTTGCCAGTGTCTTGTGATAAGATTAAATAGTCAATCCATGTATACAAATGAGATTAAAGCCGCGAATGAAATGAAATGAATATGGTTCCCCCTCGTGCTCAGGGTTTAGGGCTGATTCCTCAATTTCTTTAGAATTATATCGAATTATTAGTGTATTCTCCGCTAGTTTGTGTGATTCGATCTCTCACAAATTTAGATTATAATATTGTCTTTACATTTTAATACTTTTATTTTTTTTTTCAATGCCCATTTTGCAATGACCGCGAGTGCTAGTGCCAGTGCCAATAAATATAAACCATATTTAAAGGTGTGTTCTAAAGTGTTAAAGTAGTGTTGAAGGATGAAACTGAGTTTGTGACAGTTTTCAAAGACAAAACTACATTAAATAAATATTGGAAAGTTAAAATGTTGGTTTTAAAAAATTCTAAGAATGATGATGAATATGTTTTTTCACAAAAAAATCATATCAGGAGGTTGAGAATCATGTCCATTATAATCCACCATCCATTAGCTAAAAAGACATGCCCTAATACCATATATTTTTTAAGCACAAAGCCATCATCTTCCACCCCAATAGTGTTAGTTTGGACAGGGAAGCCTATCTAGTCACATCTCTCTTCAAAGTAGTATGATTATATTCCGAGCACTATCAATGATAGAACTATTGAGCCTCCTTTGCATCAAAGTCAAGATGGAGCACTAAGGTATGGAAGGAGTCATTTTAGTTGGTTATTCATTGGCCGTGACTAGAGGTTGGCTCACCATTTGGTCACCTTGTTGTCCTCTACATTGGCCATGCCACTTTCAGTTGTAGCCTCTATCGCTTGAAGCACAATATTTCAATTGCCTCAGGTCTGCATCTCCACATCCATGCTATGAGCATAAATGACAGGATAAACCATGGTCCAAAGAGAGGCGTGGTTGAGAAGCCAAAGAAGGAATCTCAGCATTCGTGGCCTTGACTCAACCATGTTACTGGTGGAGGGGAAGAGAAGAAACATGTGAGGTTAGTTTTGTCTTTTTTTACTACCACCAAGTTGACAAATCAGCTTAAACGTAAAATAATGGTAGGTGTGTTGTTTTCAGTGTGTGTGTATATATATAGCACCTTTGCAAAGGTACTCCTCCGCTTCCATGTACTTATCGTTTCGGAAATGCTATTTCCATTGCTATCATTTTCGACTAAAGTTTTCTTCCACAAATACTTGGCACTACACTATTTCCAATGCATAATTTCCTATTTTGCCCTTGTGGCTGTCTAGCGCAGAATCAAGAGTTGGCTCTAATCAAAATTTGAAATATTGTCTAGAGAAGAATCTAGAAATGTAGAATAATGTTGCCCAAATCAAAATTTGGATGTTCTCTGTTAAAGAAATAATTTACCAAATGTTGCATCTAGACTGTTCTGCTTTACAACTAATACTATGCCCATGCTTTATAACAGGGTTGCGAGGGATACATGAGAATGGTTTCATAAGCTACAGTTTTATCTAGCAAAGTTTATTATTTCCACTGTACTCTGTTAATCAGACAAGTGCATGTCCTGTGGGTTTCTCAGGACAAACTTTATTTTCTCCAAAATCAGTGGGCGGATTTGGCATAAGATTTTAAGACGTAGAATTGCAGAAAGCCCAAGTGGATCTATTGTTTAACGTGCAAATTCCTATGATGACAGGTGTCTGAAGATAATGTAAGAATGTTGGAGTTTCAGTTGACGTTGCTTCCTATGTTTAACAAGGTTTGTATAGAACTTGGAACAATAGTTTAGTATCAAGTTAGAAGTGTGACTTGGAAAATTGCTTGATCATAATACCTTAATACCCTGGCTGAAATCACATGGCTCATCACCAATCAATCTCTCTCTCCATAGATATACTGATTGGTGCTTCAGCCTTTTCTGAAATATCTTTGATTCGGAATGTTTCTGAAGGTGGGCACATGTACTTTGGAAAATATCAACGCTCGTCAGATATATATATATATATATATATATATATATATATATATATATATATATATATATATGCTTTATATGTGTGTTAAAATTCATATGGATATTATTGAATCTATACGAGAAATCAAGAGACCAGAACGTATGTTGAACGGAGGGAGTACTTTCTTTCGGGTTTCGGCTATGAGCCTATGAATTTGCAGTTTACTGACACTTGTCGTTTTGCTGGCAATCAGCGATATCCTGAAAGGGTTGACATTGAGGAAATGGCAAAATTCGTCAACCCTGAAAACGAAAATGCAACTTGGTCTTTATCTTCCTGTTGATTTTGTACTCGCCATTCCATACTGCAAAAATCATATCTTACTATAAAATTATAATCCACTAACTACTAAAACTTAACATGCAAATAAGATACCACATCATCATCCACTAACAATCAATACATTTAATATCATGCAAACATACTATATTATCTATAATATAAATTTTATTATATTTTAGAGCTTTTTAAATGAAAGCATGTTAAATCATCATCCCACATAATTTACATAATATTTTAATATATATCTTCATTGTTATTTATAATATCTTATGTACCTATCTAAGTTCATCCTCACTTGGTTAATGTTATTTCTCTCTTCTCTAATTAAGTCATATCACATCAATTGATTTTAGTGCTTATGTAAGTTACGTTTATATTATTTAGTTATATTACACATTATTTTTACTTATTATTATTATACTGAATTCCCATAGCAACGTGTGGGGTTTCACATAGTATATTCTAATAATTAATCCCGTGGTAGCCTCGTGCTAGTGGTGTGGTTCTTACCATGTTGCTGGTCAGTCCACTGCACTTACTATGCAAGTGGAATAATAACCTTGCAAATAAATATTTTTTTCTGACTAGATTCATTCCAAGAACAATGGTGCAGCAAACTACTGATTTTTGCACTAAATTATCCAGAAATGTTGAAAATCACACATGTATGTGGTCCGCAATTGAACAGCACTGCAGGGTTTTAGCAGTAGCCAAACTCGGTCGCAGAGTCATGTGCTGAGTTTACCAAGTCCCTCTTCTTAGGGAGAAGAATGCATGTGCTCTGCTTAACTAGATAAGTTACATTACTGCCTATAGGCACTGGAAATGTAACATATTACAGACATCTATATCATAATTTAATTGGTCCATCAAAGATTGATCTATCATAGTTCTGGGACACGATGTCATCGAAGTTCACGTCAGGTTTGCATCAGGTCTCGATTTTACTTTGTGTGAAAACTCTTCTGGGTGGATGATGCAAGTTTTTTATTTTATTTTTTTGAGAACATGGATGATGCAAGTTTCACAATATTTGTTTATGCAAGTGGAATTGTGTGACTTGGCCATCTGTTGCAACACCACTCTTATCCGTTCCTCCACACAAGATAATCTCATTCGTGCAATTATATCCCTAACAGTGACCTGTTCTTTGTAGCCGACTAACGCACACCATTTGCTTACTTCAGAACCATTTTAATGCCGCTGGACAATCATGGGGATGATAATAATCTCACTCGCACAATTATATATCGCTTACAATGACCTGTTCTTCGTAGCCTACTATTAGTATTAACCATTTGCTTACTTATGAAACTTTTTCATGTCGCTGGAGAATCATTAACTGCAACAAAGGGTTTCTTCTCTCAAATCATGGTGACAAACTGACAATTAACTGCAACTTGCTCACTCAATCAAGCGGAATGCCCAAATACTACTACCCTCTCGCCGTTTTTGTCAACGATGGGGCGTAGCATAGTCGGCTACAAGCTGGATCAAATTAAGAAGGAAAAAAGAAAAAGAAACTTCATCGCCTTCGATCTCCAATTGGACAGATTGAGGCTGCTTGTTGACTCTGCCGCTATAAGTACCGTACCACATGGTGGTACATACACACTCGCGTTGAGCTGTGCGGGCTATTTTTTTTTTCTCTCTGATTTGCTGAATTGCTGCTGCGGGCGGTGGAGATGGCCAGAGGGGGAGCGATGGTCGCGGCGGCGGATGCCGGCGCCGGCGCCGGCGTGGCGCCCGGGTACAGCAGCGAGATCACGTTCACCGTGGTGATGAGCTGCCTCATGGCGGCCTCCGGCGGGCTCATTTTCGGCTACGACATCAGCATCACAGGTCAGTCAGCCACTCGCTCAGTTCTGCTGCATATATGCCATGAATTTCTGGCACGATTATATATCGGACACAATCCATTCTTGCGTCCGATGATCATACAAATCGGACGCAAATTATATATGCCATGAATTTCTGGCACGATTTGGACCGAGTTTCTCTAGCTCTTCGCCTCTTTCATAATAGAAAAAACAGAGTTTGGCTCAAGATTTGTGAGCTGTTCTCCTATGCTTAAAGATGCCATCCTTGTAGACATCTACCAGAACAGACCAACGCCCAAATGATCCACCGAAAAGGGAGTAAATTGAAGGCATTAATCCTATCGAGATAGTAAGACAACTCATAGATTGTATGATGCAGAGGCGGAATAAAGTGCAATTTTACTCTCTCTGTTTTTTCTATTACTGAAAGAAGCTTTGTCAGCTTCATTTTCCAGTTCTTCCGACAGATCCAGTCGATATCCTACTTGACTCTTCCAAAGTTAAAAGTTTGAGTTGAAATTGATACGATGTGACTGAAAAATTATGTGTGTATGACAGATCGATGTGATGGAAAAAGTTAAAAGTTTGTATCCAAACACAGCCCTACTTAGATTAGTCGATCGAGTCAGGTGTCACGTTTGATCGGCGTGGAGATTCTCTGTCTTGTCTCCTCGTCAATTGGACCTTTCTACTTGATGGGGGCAATTGGCAAGGCTAGCTTGTCAAGTTGCCATTTCCTTCAGATAGAACAGTCATACCGCTAGTACTACACTACTACCTCAGAATATCGTTACACTATCCCAGGTGAAAAAAATCCCAGGACATTTTTTTACTGTTACAGATATGTACTACTACGAGTACGCTGTACTTGCTTAGGTAATGAATGTTATTAATGATTAATCATGCAGCGTGTAATGAAAAAGGACGCATACGTACCCAAAGACCAAGGTGCATACTTATCATTTCGCTTATGCTGTTCAGTCTCATCGTTTCATTTATACTTATTGTTTTTTAGAAAAAGAAATGTTCTTTTAACAAAGAAACAAACATGAAGTCCAGAGATATGATTTACGACAGTGAAAGCAGAGGAAATTTGTTTACGCCTGATCTTTCCCACAAGAAAATAAAATACTTACATTTTGAAAATCAATAGTTAGTCAACGCTACAGTATGCATGGATCGCGGAAAGAGACAAGACGCGATGTAGAATATGCGAGTGTCATGATCTCGAGCTACGCAAAACATGCTCATTTCTCAGGGGTCACAATCTCTCATTGCGGCCCTCTCACGCTGCTGATACGGCAACCCCCAGCAATCTCCCCTGCTGATGCAACTACGGTTATGAAAGACACAAATCACACGTAGTTCATGATGATTTGCAGATGAGACACAATATGCTACGACTAGCTGTTTTTTTCATACATCTATCTATCTATCTATCTATTATATACTAAAAGTCCATTAAACTTCCTACAAACGCTCCTAATCCGCCACGTGGCACTCCTACAAACGCTCATATGCTGCCATGTGGCGCTCTAACAAAATAAAAAAATTGTTAGAAATTCTAAAAAAAGATTTAGTTAGATCTATCTTCGAAAAAAGTAGTCCGAAACCTTCCTCTCTGTTCGGTGTGCGCACGCATGTTAGCCATCCCTCCCTCCCTTCTGTTGATTTTTTCTCTCTCCTATGGTAGTTAAGTTAGTTAAGGTAAAAGACATCCAATGTTTTTATGGCCATGCATGCATATTAATTTATTGGTTTCGGTAGTTCTATAAATAGATAAACAATCTTTTAAATAGTTGTAACTTTTAAATTATATTTCAATTTATGACCTATTTGTACCATTGTATTTTTTAATTAAATCAATAATTAAGATCCAAATAGACTATGATGTAACGCTACAAAATTATTACTGCTGAACTCACATTCATCTTGAGGCCTCTAAGAAAATAAAATCAAAATATGCCACCCTAATTTTTTACTCATACACTGTTAGATATCTAACAACTTTGTGTAGACTTAAGTAACTTCTGTCAACATCTACATGAATTGGTCGATAAATAAGATGATCGATCATAGCATCTAACTTATAGATATAGATATGATCTAATAAATTAAGAAATTCGACCATCAAATTTCATTAAATCAGTGGACCCATTGTTTTAGCCTGTTAGATCTATTTTATCAAAACAAAAAGAACACATTCAGATCAATTTTTATCTAAGTCGGTGGACCCATTAATTGCTTTATATCATTAGATCTCTGTAAAATAACCACATCCGGAACCTCCACGTCCAGTGCGAACATACGTACGTAAATCAAAATTATCTTTACAGGTTAAAAGAACACACAATAGACCTCCACGTACTAGGTCTAGCGGCTCTCAAACTGTCACTTAGAATATCCTACGGTGCTATTAAATTAGAGAAAATACTATTAAATTAGGGAAAATAATAGAAAAACAGACAAAGAAAAGAAAGCATCTGAATATAGGTTTCTATTTAAATTAATGGGTACATTGTTTCTGGTTGCAGAATTTTTTCATAAAAAACATCTCAAACCTCTCTCCTCCCTACCCTCCCTGTGCAGTGTTAATGCCCATTAACATCGCATAAACGCTTCTAAGCCATTAAACGACATTCTTAAATTAGAGAAAATCATAGGAATTTTGAAAAAAAGACACATCTAACCATTGGTTTTGACTTAAATCGTTGGACACATTATTTTGAATCGATTGACACACTATTTTTGGTCATTGGATCTATTTTTATAAAAGAAACACCCCAAACATCCTTCCCTCCCTCCCGCTCCTTTGCGGCATGCGGTGCTAAAAGTCCATTATACATCTTATAAACACTCTTTAAGCTGTTACATTGCTCTTTTAAGTGAGACAGTATCCTCCAAATTCTGACAAGAAAAGAAAACTTCCAACCATCGATTTCGACTTAAACATATGACAAATCATTTAGGTCGTTAGATTAATCATTTAGAAAAACATGCCAAACCTTCCTCCCTCCCTGCCCGTGTGTGGCATGCACCATTCCTTTACTCTCTGTTTTTTTATCTCCCTGACAATTAAAATTGAAATTATCTATATGTCAAAGAAAAACCACAAATGGATCTCCACCTATTACTTATATCCTGTTAGACATCTAACGACTTTCTACCAACTTAATTAATTTCTCTTAACATTGTCCATGTTTTTCTTTTTGGTAAAACTTGCTATAGTACATTGTAAATTCTTGACATTTAACGTAGAACAATCTAGAAATTTCTATTTGTTATAAGAGACTTCAGTTTAGTGAGAATTCACTAAAAATACTATGAATCTATGATCATTACTTCAATACACGAGAGAAAATTTAAACATATGCCTTTACCCTGTGCAAGGTTATATGCACTTCTATTTTCATCCCAATTTGCAAGATCAAAGCTTGATGATTCATAAAACATAAATCTAAAAAAAAAATGGACATGAAATAAATTGAAAAAATGTTGTTGGATTTAAAACTCATTCTAAATAGAAAATTTCAAACATTTTAGGAGGATTGTTAGAATGAAAATAGATATAAAAATTAACTACAGTAATAAATGACATTATTGGACTATTTTGGAGGGTGTGGGCGGGAGGGGGTGCAAGATATCTTTCAGGGCAGTCAAAATATATAAAAAAATTTCTCATGGGAACCACATACATTGTTTCGACACAACTGCACGATCTCAAGTAATTTTATTTTAGAATTTATATGTAGCGATGGTGCCAACGTTCAAAGCAAAATAAGTAAATTTAATTTAGTTTAGAATATAATAAAAGCATTATTATTAAAAGTCACCCATACATAAATATTCATAAGAAAATTTCACCACATTAAGTAAGGTGCCCGCGCATGTGCGCGGGCTACCTTCCTAGTTTTTCTAAAACTAGATTAAGTGAAAAATATATATATTTGGCACCTTCTTTTTTTCATCTATACACAGCTATATTGTTCAGTTCACGTCATTATAACCTAAACTTGTCACAATTAAAATTATTTATATTTTTTCTCCATATTTTTTAGGTCTCTAGACTGAAATTGATGGGTATTTTTGCCATCCCTTTATCATAAATAATAATGTGATGAACCAATAGTTCTATAATATTTTGTGGTTGTTTATGAACTATGCATGCAAATGCTTTGTTTTCTACCAGGGGGGCCTAGGTTTGGCCCAAGACCTAGGCCGGCCCATTGTACTTTGTGCTGAGGAAGTATCTTATCTTACATGATGGAAAAAATACAGGTCATAGTGGGACTGAAATTCCAAAGGCCTTAGATCCGCCTCTGGTTCCACTCTATTGTGGAATTTGTAGTTATGTAAACTGTCATAGCTTGTTTGAAAAATAAACAAATTAGGGCTAAAGACATTATCTATCAAAATTGTTTTTAAACATAATTGTTTTCACTAACAACTTGCACTAAAAGAAAATAAAAAATTAGACTTTGCATCCAACCAGATTAGAATAATTGATCTGTCTCACATAGGGTCTAGGTAGTGTGGTTGTGTACTTGTTGGTGCATGACTTTATCCTTACGGTTTAAATCTTGCTACCTACAAATATTACACAATATGGGTGTGCTCTCCGTCTCTTTGAGTATGTGTTAGAGGGTTTCTAATATGCGTAAAAACACATTAGATGAGTTTCGAGCGATTTCATTTATGCACTATAAACTTTCCCTCATGCCACCAACTCGTGCCAAAAAAAAAATCGTAACCAATGATGTCAAAACATTCCACCCAAAAGATCTCTGATCCATTCCGTGCATGATGGTATTTATTAGAGCGATTCACACGAGGATGTGATTATGTTATTGGTGGTTATGCTTTTTTATTTTTGAATGGATGGGTACATTATTGTAAACTTTTAAATGGGGGTATGGATTTTTTTTCCCTTAGTCATATGATGATTAAGCGATTTAATTTTGTTTGCAATATATCGAAAAATTTCAGGTGGACTGACGCAGATGCAGTCGTTCCTCGAGGCGTTCTTCCCAGACATCTGGGCGAAGATGAACAACGCCGAGCAGGACGCGTACTGCATCTTCGACAGCCAGGTGCTCACCACCTTCGTCTCCTCGCTCTACCTCGCCGGCGTTTTCGCCTGCCTCATCGCCGGCCACGTCACCCGGAGGGTGGGCCGGAGGAACTCCATGCTCATCGGCGCCTCTCTCTTCTTCGTCGGCGCCATCCTCAACTGCGCCGCCGTCAACATCGCCATGCTCGTCATCGGCCGCATCCTCCTCGGCTTCGCCGTCGGCTTCACCAACCAGGTGCGAACGCGAACCAGGCGCCATTGCCAATGATGGGAGAGTAAGTCTTGCGTTCTAATGGCGGTTTCTCTGTGTACATATGTTGCAGTCTGCGCCGGTGTACCTGGCGGAGATAGCTCCGGCGCGGTGGCGCGGGGCGTTCACGAGCATCTTCCACTTCTTCCTCAACGTGGGGATGTTCGTGGCCGACCTGGTGAACTACCGCGCCAACACCATCCCGGTCTGGGGCTGGCGGCTGTCGCTCGGCGTCGCCGTCGTCCCGGCCGCCGTCATCCTGGTGGGCGCCGCGTTCATCCCGGACACGCCCAACAGCCTCGTCCTGCGCGGGAAGCTCGACGAGGCCCGCGCCTCGCTGCGCCGCATCCGCGGAGCCGCCGCCAACATCGACGCCGAGCTCAAGGACATCGCCCGCGCCGCGGAGGAGGACCGGCAGCACCACACCGGCGCGTTCCGGCGCATCGTGCGGCGGGAGTACCGCCCGCACCTGGTGATGGCGATCGCCATCCCGGTGTTCTTCGAGCTGACGGGGATGATCGTGGTGACGCTGTTCACGCCGCTGCTGTTCTACACGGTGGGGTTCTCGAGCCAGAAGGCCATCCTGGGGTCCATCATCACCGACGTGGTGAGCCTGGCGTCCATCGCGGCGGCGGCGCTGACCGTGGACAGGTACGGGCGGCGGACGCTGTTCATGGTGGGCGGCGGCGTGCTGCTGGTGTGCCTGACGGGCATGGCGTGGACGTACGGGGCGCGGCTGGGGAGCGACGGCGGGAAGGCGATGCCGCGCGGGTACGCGGTGGCGGTGGTGGCGCTGGTGTGCCTGTACGACGCCGGGTTCGGCATCTCGTGGGGGCCCCTCAAGTGGATCATCCCCAGCGAGATCTTCCCGCTGGAGGTGAGGTCGGCGGGGCAGAGCATGAGCGAGGCCATCTCGCTGGCGCTCACCTTCGCGCAGACACAGTCGTTCCTCCGGATGCTGTGCAGCTTCAAGTTCGGCGCCTTCGCGTACAACGCCGCGTGGGTGGTGGTCATGACGGCGTTCGTGGCGCTCCTCCTGCCGGAGACCAAGGGGGTGCCCATCGAGTCGCTCGGCGCGGTGTGGGCGCAGCACTGGTACTGGAAGCGCTTCGTCAAGCCGCCGCCGCCGCCGCCATCGACGGCGGCGGAGACCAAGCAGGCGGACGGGGCTCCGGCATGAGAGACGTGGTGGTGGGGGGCTGGGCATTGACACGTACGTACGTTGTGTTAGCTAATGCTGATGGGCTCGTGATGTCGGGCACTGCATGCATGGTGCGGTGGTGTGGAGTGTGGACTCGATATCCATCGGCATCGCCGTTGTTGGGGTTAGCCACACGGGCAACTGGGCAAACCGGGGCGATGGACATGGATGATCGAACAAGTCGACTAGTTCTGTCTTGTGTAACGCAGACACGGTAGAGTCTGACCATCAAACGTTACTTATCACATATACAGTACTCCGCAGTATCTCGATTGATATGAGTCGTTCGCGTGAAAACAATGTGGGCGTAACGAATTAACGAAAGATACTTGTTTGTTTGTTTAGGGTGCATTTGGTTCACACCTTTACGGTCAAGGTTAGATGAGATATGGCGGTCCATAATTTGCTAGATATGACGATTCAGTTTTTTATTTGGTACAGTGAATATGGTGATTCAATTTTTTGTTTGGTTCTAGAGATAAAGGTGGATTTGGTGATCTATTTTTTTTGTTAGAGGGAGTAGAATGGATGAGTGGATACAATCACCCCTACATTAAAGATGGTGAGTATACCCCCCTTCAAATTCATCAAAACCATGAAAATATCAATCACTACAAACGAAAAAAAAATCTAAAGGGAAATATAAGAAATCAAAAATAAATAGAAGAGGGAAAGGAGAAAAACGAAAAAAAGAAAAAAAAAGGTCATTCGCGCTCTTCTTGCCGGCCGCCACCTCCGGATTCTCCTCCTCGCACGCCGGCCGCCGCCTCCGGGCTTGCCTCCTTGCTCGCTGATCATGGCCTCATCTTCGGGCCGCCGCCTTGCCTCCTCGTTCGCCGGCCATCGCCAAGTCTCCGGGCCACCGCCTCACCTCCTCGTTCGCCGACCGCCGCCCCATCTCCTCGCTTGCTCGCCGGTCGACAACGATGACGATGTAACCACCTACTTTCTCACCGGATCCGTCCCCTCCTGATCCGATCGTTGTCGTTGGCATCTCCTATCCCATGCCCACACCGGTCGTTAGGGCGCCCTGTCCCGCTGTCGCCGCCTCCGGCCTCGCCGCTGCCGTCGCCTCTTCCCGTCGCCTCTTCCCACCACCGTCGCGCTCCCTTCTCGCATTGGCTGCCACACTCATCGCCGCTGTCGCATGGTGAGGGGTGACTCGACCCAGCTTGGTTAAGGTTTAAGAAAAAAAACTATAGTAACCATTATTAAATGATGTGTGGATAGAAATAGAGTGGTAGATATGGGGTAGAGTAAAAAGAATGAATGAGAGGTGATGGATAACAAGTAGTACAATTAGTGCTAAGTATTTTAGGATAAATTTAAAATTAAAAAAATAATTATTTTAGGATAAAGGTAGTAGTAGAAAACTATGATCTCATGAACGTTATTCAACCTTCGGTAGGACACGCGTGTATGTGTTCAGGCTGTACGTGGATCATATGTTTTCTTTATTTAGGTGGTGTTTGAAACACATGGTTATTTAAGCTTTAATTATTACAAACTTGATAAATAGATATATTTGATAATTTAAAGCAACTTTTACATAAAAAATTTTCGCACGGAACATACCGTTTAGTAGTTTGAAAAGCGTGATAAAAAAACTGAGGTAAAATCTGTATCTTCGGTTCCGTTCATTCCTCCAACAAGAGTTGAACAAAGATAAAGATTTTTGTGGCATGCTTTTTAAATTGCTAAACGGTGCGTTTTGTACGAAAACTTTCTATATGAAAGTTGCTCTAAAATATCATATTAATCTATTTTTCAAGTTTATACTCTCTCCGTATTTTAATGTATGACGCCGTTGACTTTTTGACAAACGTTTGACCTATCGTCTTTTCAAAAAATTCATGTAATTATCATTTATTTTATTGTGACTTGATTTATCATCAAATGTTATTTAAGCATGATATAAGTATTTTTATATTCGTATAAAAAATTTGAATAAGACGAATAGTCAAACGTTGGTTAAAAAGTCAACGGTGTCATCCATTAAAATACGGAGGGAGTAATAATTAAAACTCAATCAATTATACGTTAATAACATCTAGTTTAGTGTAAAAAATTTAATCTTCATCTTCATCTTTGTTGGAAAGGGTTCACATCGTCTACCTTTGGTGCTGACGGCAAATATTGCCGTTGCATGCATTTGTACCGCACATTCTTCCATGCATAAACAGTTGTATAAAGTGGCCCTATCACAAAGATTAATTAGAGGCCAACTAATCGGTACAATTAGTTGTTTCTCTCCAAAACAAAATTCAGCAAATAGAATATGCAAGCCTCTGTTATACGAAGAGACCACAAACCAAACATCAGTACCTAAATACTTGAACGATGTATATATCTTATATAAAACTTTTAGTATTCATTTGGCATTTGGCATTACTACTAGCTCCCAGATAGAGAATTGTCATAAAAAAACTGGCAGCGAAATGGAGCTACTGATGAAATCCTTCGGAATACAACTCACAGCCATCTAAATCACCCTGCAAATGTATAAACTGATATAAGTTTAAAAGAAACGGAACATATCAAATCTTAAAGAGTAAAAGTCAATGTGAATTATACCGTCAGTAGTTGGGTATAGCTACCCAAAAAAGTCCTGGTCAACTTCTTTTATACTGTTCTACAATCTATTCTCTGCACTTTGATGCCGCTTATATTCTATTTACTGACTTTTTTCCAGAAGAAAAATAACTAATTCACCGATTATTAGGCCCCTAATTAATCACAATGGTGGAGCCACTCTATGCAGCTGTTGATTGGAGAATGTGAGGCATAGATGAATGGAACGGCACTGTTTACCGTTGGGCCCAAAGGCAGACGATGTTCATCCCATCAGAAAGAGATTGTCTTCCCTCGCTTCCTCGGTCAGCCTTGCTCACACACACACACACACACACACATATATATATATATATATACATACATATATATATATATATATACATACATATATATATATATATACATATATATATATATATATATATATATATTTGCCGGGAAGACCGAAGGAGGCCATCTGGGTATATTAAGAAGAAGTAAAAGTACATACAGAATGCTGCCATCGCCTATCTAAAAGGATGTGGTTTTCACCCAGAAAAATTCGTCAAGAAAAGGAGAGGGTAATTAACCCTCGATAACGCCCCAAGGAAGGTTACGATGACCGAAGACGTAGCCGCTGTCGGCCCGGTGAATATCGGATTAGGCTTTCGCTTGGGACCCTACAACCTTGATGGAAGATTGATGTCCACCAACTCAGAACCACCTCACGGACAAATGGCATCACGTAGCTTCCACCACACCGCACCAACGTCCCTCCGTCGGCCGACTTCATCGAACAACCACCCATGAGAGCTGGTTCAGGACCCCTCCGTTCCACCACCCGCCGGCCTCCTCGCCAGTTTTGACCAAAGGAGAACCCATGCTGGGTGGCATTGCTTCGACAGCCTGAGCTTCCCCTGATGACAAGCAGCCGCCTCAATCCAACCAAGAATATTCAGGAAGGGCGAGGGTGCTGACCGACAATGAGGAAGACGACCCACCGTCGCCAGCTCCTTTTGCATTGCCATCTGGGCTTGCATCGATGCCGGTGACGCTACTGCCGCTCCGGCTCCGGCGCCCCCGTTGCCTGGCGCTTAGGGCACCACAATGGCACCCCGGTTGCCTGGCCGCGCCATGGGGGCTCGCAGCCGCACCACCAAGCCGCTCCGGTAGCCACGCCCCCATCGAGCCGCGGCCGCCCTGGGCCGGTGCCACCAAGCCTCCAGCGCTCCAGGTCGGCCACGCCGCCGCCGCACCCCGGCTCCCAGCCACCCCGCGTCGCCTCGCTCCTGGGCAGGCCGAGCTACTGCCACCGCCCCCAGCCTCCTCCTGCCGTCGCCTGTGTCGCCCCGCACTCTCCGGCCAGATCCGGCGGCGGGAGAGTTGGATCTAGCCGCCGGGGAGGGGGGGGGAGGGGCTAGATCCAGCGGCGGCGGCGCCGGATCCACTACCTCGCGGTGCGCCGCCGCACGGCCTTCCCCGCCGTGTGCCGCCTCCTCGTGCTGAAGAATGTGCCGCCGCCATCCCGGCGGCTGCGCGGTTTCCGGCGGCGCGCTCCGGCGGTGGCAAGGCAAGGGAGAGGAGGGGAGGGTGGTGGCGGCGAGGGGTAGGGTTCACCCCCTGAGCCCGCGCGAGGACGACAGGGAGCGCGAGGACTGATGGTGTGTGTCTTATGCTCACACATGTTTTTGGAACTAGATCCTCTCCTGTAATTTAGAGGAACACTGTGTCAACGGTATATCGTATCTATCACCACAGTGAAATGCAGTAGCATTGTTGCAGCAAAAGTACTGCATGAACAGTAATTGGTTTACTGTTTATGTAATTACTATTTGAGCTTTGTCTACTTTCTCGGTCCAGTGTCTGACTGTCCCATGTACCACCATGTCGTCAGCCGGATCACGGAACTGGAGGGAGAATCTGAAATTTGCAGAATCAACTACTTCCGTTTTCAAACTGCACGTTATTTTAGTTTTATCCTAAGTCAAATATTATTGTCAAATATTTGTCTTTGATCACTAATTTTTAAATATATAGTTTAATATAATAAGATTTATATTATTAGATTTACCATAAGAAATGCTTTCATAGCATATAATTCACATGCTATTAAACTATAAGCAGAATGATGAGTAATTTAATTTGAATCAGAGGTAGAAATTTGCACGTAAACTAGTTCCCCGTTAGATGTGAGATAGAAAATTTTCATTTAGAAATGATCAATTTGGATTGCTACCGAAACTTATCGTACCATTTATTTTTTTGGTAGTTTGAACAGATCGACCACTTGTAGTTTATATTGTATTAATTGAAGCTGATAGTTAACAACCCTACTACAATTTGGTTCCTAAAGTCCTAATCATTAGAAATTGAGCTAGGTTGCTCCACCCTACCGATATGACTATCGGTTCTAGCTGTGCGTTGACATTACAATCAGCCGTTGGATGAAAGAGAGAAGAGAAAATCAGATTGCTCGCCTATCATCGGCGTCTCTCTTTGGACCACAAGCTTATATATAACTATTTGTTTTTTTTTGGAGAACTGGAAAAACAATTGTGCTGTACTCTATATATAGTCTTAGAGTTGTGGCGCAGCGTATATCATCCAAAAATACAATTGCCGTGTCTTCTCGAGTTCACTTCCTAACCGAGGAAGCTAGCTAGATATGTCTGGAGGTGGATCAATTGCCAACGATGGTGAAGAGGCCGCCGGCGGCGGCGGCGGCGGCCGTGGCGAGGTGACATTTACAGTTGTGATGAGCTGCCTCACGGCGGGCGCCGGCGGGCTCTTGCTTGGGTACGACATCGGTGTTACAGGTCAGTGGCTAGTAAACTGAAAGTCTGAATATGCCTTCAGAG